AACAGGCAGTGATCTAGGCCCTGCCAATGGGATTATTGTGGTTGGACATGTGACTCGAGTTGTCCAGTGAGCGCCCTCTCTGGGAACTGTGAAGGAACTATTCATAAAGGCTGTTTTCCTCTGTGGGAGTCGCTCAGTTGGTAGGAAGTGTATGAAGCGCTTTGGGGCTCTGCAGGGAGTACTCCGGGCCTGACAGTGAGGGCACCACAGAGAAGAGCTAAGCTGGGAAACAGAGACAGGACTCCCAGGGACACTGCTCAGACACCTGATCAGGCCAGGCTTCCTGGTTATGTAAACCATTAATTTCTTAAGTAGCATAGTTCTGTCCCATAAGAACTCTGATTGATAGTCCAGTAAATCACAAGTAACTCCACTCATCTGTTAATCTTGGTTTAAAATTTCTTCCTCTAGGCCAGGCAGAGTGGCCTCACACCTGCAATCCCAGTACTTTGGGAACTGAGGTAAGTGACCCATGAGGCCAGGAGTTCAAGACTAGCTTGGCCAACATGGTGAAATCCCATCTCTACTAAAAATATAAAAAATTAGCCAGGTGTGGTGGCCCTGAACTTCAGTCAGGCATGGTAAAGTGCTTGAACCTGAGAGGTGGATGTGCCGTGAGCTGAGATCACGCCACTGCACTCCAGCCTGGGCGACAGAATGAAACTAACTCAAACCAGCAAACTTCTTTCCTCCAGATGGAACGCAAAGACTATCTCGTAGACTCAAAAGTGGTAGCAATTGCAGAGACGTCAAGGCCCACTCTGAGAGGGCAGACATGGTGAATGAGTGATGAAGCTGGGACAAGAACCTGTGGTTTCAGCCTCGGCCAATGCCTTCAGCCCCCGCCTCTTCCTCACATGTCTGCCTCTGTCTTTCTCAACCTGCTCCTTTCCACCCTTTGAAGCACCTCTCCTGAGTCACTACCTCCACAATTTTCAGCTTCCAGAGACCCCCACAGGCAGAAGTCACTGTGTTCTAGGAGTACTCTGTGTCCCCTAGCTCTCCACCGAGGACAGGCCCATTTTAAGAGAAGCATGTAAAGGTTCGATCTTGATGGAGCTCAGGTAAGAGGCTGTGGACTGAGCTCTGTTTAGAGCCCAGGATCCAGCCTCAGGCCCGCATTACCTCATGAAAGTGGATTTTTAGTAAAGTTATTTGCAGGTTCCCGCTTCTCCCCAGCCCTAGTCTCTTTCTCTTTTCATTTTAACAGTGTCAGAATCATCTTCCTCTGGTGCTGGCACTCTCTTGTTCACAAACCTTCAATGGCTCCCCTGCTGCCTGTAGAACAACATCAAATTTCACCACTGTCCTTCATGGTGAGAAAGGACCTGTGTCCCCAGGGAGGCACAGCTCATACACTAGGAAGAGCTACCCACTTGAAGAATCATGTCTAGAGTTCTAAATTCAATTACAGTCTCTCTAGTTCATTAAAATAAGCAGTAGGCATTATTTCTTTTGTTTTGTTTTGTTTTTAGAGACAAGGTCTTGCCTGATCAATGTAGGCTGGAGTGCAGTAGCAGATCACGTGCTGCGCAGCCTCAAACTCCCAGGCTCAAGCAATCCTCCCGCCAGCCTCCTGAGTAGCTGGGATTGCATACTATCATGCCCAGGTAATTTTTTTTTTTTTTTGAAGAGACAGGGTCTTGCCATGTTGCTTAGACTGGTCTTAAACTCTTGCCTCAAGTGATCCTCCCACCTTGCCTCCCAAAGTGTTAGAATTACAGGTGTGAGTCACAGCACTGACTTGGTGGTAGGTATTCTGATCCCTGTGAGAAAGGAATACATTATCCCTCCAACGCCCAGCACCTGGATATCTTCTCCACTGATTTTTTTTTTTTTTTTTTTTTTTTTTTTTTTTTTTTGAGGCAGAGTCTGACTCTGTTGCCTAGGCTGGAGTGCAGTGGCACAATCTCAGCTTACTGCAACATCTGCCTCCCAGGTTAAAGCAATTCTCCTGCCTCAGCCACCTGAGTAGGTGGGATTACAGGCGCCTGCCATCATACCTGGCTAATTTTTGTATTTTTAGTAGAGATGGGGTTTCGCCATGTTGACCAGGCTGGTCTTGCTTCCTGACCGGTGATCCATCATTTAGCCTCCCAAAGTGCTGGGAATGATAGGCATCAGCCATACACCCGGCTCTTCCATTAATTTTGATGCTACTCCGACAATATTTCCTGGCTACCTTCCTTTAATAGCTATTTGTATGAGTTTTCTACTGATGTGTAACAAATTACCACAAATTTAGTAGCTTAAAACAGTTCATTTATTAGCTTGCAGTTCCGTAGGTCAGAAGTTCTGGCACAGCAAGTGCAGGCTCTTTAGTCAGATTCACAAGGCTAATAAAATGGAGATGCTGGGCTGCATACATTCTGATCTGCAGCCCATGGTCCTCTTCCAAGCGTACACAGTGATGGCAGAATTGTCTCCTTGCTGTTTCCTTGCTGGCTGTCAGGGAGAGGCAGCTCTGAGTGCCTGCAGTCCACCTACATACCTTGCTCCTCCATCTTCAAAGCCAGCGGGGTGCACGGAGGCCCTCTGTGCTTTACAGTTCTGACTTCTGCTGTCTCTAGCCTCTATACCCATATTGAAAGGACTGGTGTGATGAGGTCAGGCCCACCTGGATAATTTCCCTTTTGATGAACTCAAAGTCAACTAACTAATAACCTTTTCTTTTTTTTCTGAGTGTCTCACTCTGTCACCCTGGCTGGAGGGCAGCATGGATCTTGGCTCACTGCAACCTCTGCCTCTACCGGTTCAAGCGATTCTCCTGCCTCAGCTTCCAAGTAGCTGGGACTTACAGGTGCCCGCCACCACGCCAGCTAATTTTTGTATTTTTGCAGAGACCAGGTTTCACCACGTTAGCCAGGATGGTCTTGATCTCTGACATCGCGATCCGCCTGCCTCGGCCTCCCAAAGGGGATTACATGAGCCAACCTCGCCCGCTACTAGTAACTGTAATTAAACTGTGTCCTTTGCCCCTGTAACATAACACAACCATGGTAATGATGTCACTATACTCATGTCTTGTCTACACCAAGGGGAGAGGATTAAGGCTGGCAAGTAAGGTCATTGATGCTGGGGCTATCTAGAATTCTGTCTACCACACCATTGGCACAATCATTCTCTAGTCCCAATGTCTGTGCGAGTAATGAAACTGAATTTGATTTCCTAATCCTCATCAATATTTTTTTCCTGGGGCCTGGTATGGCATGCCGCTACTTCCAGCACCTAATCTCTACTCCTCCTCTCCTTTAACATCTCAAAACAGAGACTGGGAAAATGAAATACTCTATTTTCAGCCTCCTTTGCTGCTAGAGGTGAACATGTGACATGGTCCTGGCTAATGGGCTATAAGCAGATATCTGTGGAGATTGTTCTTTTCTCCTCTTTTCTCTTCTCCTGGAATGCAGACTCAATGTTTGGAGTTGCAACAGCCACTTGTGACAAGGAGGAAGAGGCCAAGAGTTTTTTTTTTTTTTTGAGACGAAGATGAACCTGTCACCCAGGCTGGAGGCAGTGGCGTGATCATGGGGCTCACTGAAGCCTTGAACTCCTGAGCCTCAAGCAATCCTCCCACCTTGGCCTCCCAAATAGCTGGGACCACGGGCATGCATCACCACACCTGGGTGGCAAGTTTGGGCACAGTAAATTTTTTTTTTTTTGAGACAGACTTTCTTTCTTTGTCCGTATTGAGTGCAGTGGTGTGATCTTAACTCACTGGGCAACCTCCACCTCCTGTGTTCAAATGACTTCACCTCAGCCTCCCAAGTGCTGGGATTACAGGTGCCCACCACCATGCCCGGCTAATTTTTGCATTTTTAGTAGAGACAGGTTATTGACTATGTTGGGCCAGGCTGGTCTCGAACTCCTGACCTCAGGTAATCCACCTGCCTTGGCCTCCCAAAGTGCTGGACAAGGCAAGAACCACCTCATGCCCAGCCTAAAACAAACAAACAAAAATTCTTTTTGCAGATGGAGTTCACCACGGATTGGTCTTGTCCTCCTGGGCCCAAATGCTGGATTACAGGCCTGAGCCACTGCACACCCAGCCTCCAAGCCAGGAGATTTTTAACAGAGGTCTTGTCCTGCGGAGAGATTGCTGAACTGCCAAATCTATACCAAACAGGGGTCTGGTATTCTGCCATATATTTAGCAGAAAGAAATCCCAACTTACAAGACTAAATGAGTCTTCTGAATGAGAAGAAATCCAGTCAAATTTCCAAAGCCATGAATGCCTTAATCCTTTCTGGAAGAACCGCCTGTGACTCAATCAGAGTTCAGCCTCCATCATCAGGGTGATTTTCTCTTGTTACCTCTTCTGTGTTCTTAAACCTTGTTTTCTGTTACTTATAACAGAGTATCTGAGACTGAGCATTTTATAAGAAAGTATTTTTTAAAAGGAAAGGAAGGCTGAGGGGCCATGTCTGGTGAGAGGGCAGAGCCTTCTGCTGGTGGGAACTCTATGTGAGTACTGAGATGGCTCAGCATCGTGTGGGGCTGAGGGTGCTGATATGTGCTAGCTTCAGGTCTGTCTTTCTTCTTCTTATAAAGCTAACGCCACCCAGTCCTGTGATAACCTGTTAATCCATTCATCTATTCACAACGGCAGAGCCTCATAACCACTCACCACAGCCCCACCTCTCCAATACTGCCACACTGATGAAGTTTCCCCAACATTATATCAAATTTTGAGGACTAACTAAACCACAGAGTTAATGTTCACAGTAATTCTACAACATAGTATCTTGACATCACAACTGGAATGTAAACACAGAAGCCCGTAGCTATGTTATCTGTCTTTTCTTTCTGTGAAATGTTGTATCATAATGACCTTAGCAATCTACTGAGCTCCACCATATGTGTGAGCTGCAATAAAATAGGAAACTAAGTGGGTTTACTTAGCTGTGTAGAAGGGTAAACAGTGTAGAAGGAAGGAGGCCTTCCTTCCTCCTCTCTTGTTTTTTATGACTTCAATCTTCCATCTCTCTCCCTCCCCTCACCCTTCCTGATGGTCCTCTGGGCTTCTCGTGGCAGGCCCGAAACTGGGGCATAAAACTTTTGGATGAGGCAAGTGGCCTTCCAAACCCTGAAGTGTGGACAGAGAGGGACACAGAGGTAAAAGGGCTAAAGGTCTGTGGTGGCAGTGAACTCTACTAAATAATATTCGGTAGTGGAAGCGCACTGGGAGGCACAGAAAGCTTCCTGCAAGTCTGGACGAGCCAGAGAGCTGCACTCGAGCCACGGAAGAAGCTGTCCCTTCCAAATGGCCACATGGCCTCCATGAACAGAGCCTGAGGAGCTGAGAAGGGAGACTGAGTGAGCCAAAGCTCTATGTGTCCCCTAAGCCTCCAGCAAGGTCGAGGATATAGCAAATACAGTTAGTGTGATACATGTCCACGTGGCGACTCAGAAGGAATGCTCCTGCTCGGCACAATGGACAACACAAATGCCAAACTGTGAAGTATGCACTCGTTTTCTCCACCAGCGGATGGATCCACATGATTCACCGTGTTCTAGAAATTCATAGGAATGTCCCAAGGAGGCAAACATTCTGTCACCTCCCTGGCCTGCTCCTCCTTCTACCACGGAGGACACAGTGTTACTTCAGCTCCTTCCCATTCTCTGCCATTGTCTACTATCTTTCCTTCCCATGATCAACACCTTCTGCTGGCTTTGCCTCACCATCTAAACCTGCTCTGCCCTCCCCATCTCAAAACTCCATTTCGCCACTGTGTCCCCTGGGTCTAGGACCAGCCTCCCTTTCCAGAGTCTCTCATTACCTACTTCAAGATCAATGCAACCTCCACAGTCTGCGTTGAGACCTCACCATTCCCTGACACTGATTTCCTAATCACAACTTGGCTACAGGTGGCGTGACCTCTTTGCAGCACTTGATACTTGACCGCACCTCCCTCCCTGAAATCCTCTTCTCTGGCTCCTCCCGTGGCAGAGGCTGCTAGCTACCTGCTCACCATCCAGCCTTTCTTCATCCTTACTAACTAGAACCCCCTTCACCCCTGCCCCAAGTTCCACATCTACAACATAGGCACACACGGCCTGGACATGAGCCGGGTGATCTTCATCAGCCCAGATATGTAATTCAGTAATTATAATCACAATTGTAATTCCTTAACCAAAAATTTCACAAATGTCATTTATCAGCTTCCCCTGCAGCTAAGAAGTACAGATCACGTCCCAGCCAGTGATATCTAAGTGAAAGTTGTTGGATGGAGCTTCATGAAAGTTTCCTAAAGGGGGCCACACTCAACTGCTGCATGCGTGTCCACATTTACTCCCGACCCCTCCTCCTTCTCCTCTCTGGAACAGGCTCCCGATGACTGGGGCTACAGCAGCCATCTTGCAACACACATGGAAAAGGCTAGAATTATAAAAGATGTAGATCCCGTTATCCTGCAGCTGCTGAACTAATGCTGGTGCGCTTATTTCCACACCTGTTACATAAGAAAACAAACTCTGTCTTGTTTAATCTGCTGTTATTTGGGTTTTCTGGGATATGCCCCTGAAACTCATCTCTAACTGATACAGCTCCTGTGACTATATCACTCCCTGCCTTCTCCTACTTTAAACCCCTTCAGGGCTCTCTTTTCTTCTGTATCCCCACATGCAGTGCTTTTCAGCATCTGTTCCCTGGTCTGCTTCCCCCACTCTTCCCAGTGACCAGCAGCAGGCCCTCTGCTTCCCAAACCATGATGACTCCAACCATGTCTCTCCCAGGTTCCCTCTCCTCCAGCACCAGGCCTATAGGTCTAAATGCCCAGTGAACATCTCTGCCTGCCCCTTCTACAGGAACCCCACAGACAACATAATCACAGGTTAACTCGCCAGCTTGCCCACACATCTGCTCTTCCTTCTGGCCACTGGTGCTAGAGACCCTCACCTTCCCCTCACCCCCATACCCAGCTGCTCCTGAAGTTCCATCAGATCTCTTTCCAAAAGCTCCAATTTGCTCCCACTTCTTTCATCCCACTGTCCTTGCACCACCCCCATTATCTCTGCCTGGGCCACTCACCGCCTTAGCCTCCAATTAACTTCCCTACCCATACCATCTACCTTCCCAAATTGTTAAGCATTGGTCTTTAAGACAGAAATCTAATCATGTCATTTCCTTCCTAAATTAACCCTCTTCAGGATCCCCTTCTCACATTGAAGGCATTCCAGGGCCTGTGGAAGTCAGTCCTCAGTCTTTGTCAACACCCCTTCCTGCTAAAGTCACCACAGCAGTTTCAACCCTGCTATGATTTTTCTCATTTCCTTGGGGCTCTGTAGCTGAAAACTGTACAAAATAAGGTTTTAAGTAAGTATTTAAGAGCTGTTTGAGCCCTCTGTCTTGCTGTGAACTTCACCCTTTGTGCACAGAGACTCAGAGGTAAAGATGTTAGAATTCCAGAGATTCTCCATTGTTCACCTAACATAATTGCTTAATTATAATTCCCTTTTTAACCAAAGAATTTTTATATTACTTTGAACCAAACTGATTAAATAAACATCAGTTGCCTTTGTTTTCTTCACATTTTGTTTGTCTCTCTTCTATCTTCTGTCCAGCTTCAGCAAACATTTGCCAATTCCACACCAAAGAGGAAAGGAGATATTTTTCTTTTAATGTTCTAGTGAGAGGACTATCTTTTCCTTCTTCTTTATTTTGCTTTTTTCTTCTTTTCTTTTTTTTTTGAGAGGAGTCTCGCTGTCGCCCAGGCTGGAGTGCAGTGGCCGGATCTCAGCTCACTGCAAGCTCCCCGCCTCCCGGGTTTACGCCATTCTCCTGCCTCAGCCTCCCAGCAGCTGGGACTACAGGCGCCCGCCACCGCCTCCGGCTAGCTTTTATTTAGTAGAGACGGGGTTTCACTATAGCTACAGATGGTTCCCATCTCCTGACTCCGCATCGCCTGCCTCGGCCTCCCAAAGTGCTGGGATTACAGGCTTTTTTTTTTTTTTTTTTTGAGAGACAGAGTCTCGCTTGCTGAGCAGGCTGGAGTGCAGTCGCGTGTGATCTCAGCTCACTGCAACCCTGCCTCCGGGTTCAAGCAATTCTCCTGCCTCAACTCCCTAGTAACTGGGATTACAGAACCCGTCACCACACCCAGCTAATTTCTGTATTTTTACTAGAGATGGGGTTTCACCACATTGGCCAGGCTGGTCTCAAACTCCTGACCACAGGAGATCCACCCGCCTCGGCCTCCCCAAAGTGCTGGGATTACAGGCGTGAGCCATCACACCCAGCTGGATCATTCTTTTTCTTATCTGATTAAAGTACTCCCAGGATCATGAATTTCAGAGTCCAACCTCTTCACTTCAGAAAAGGAACCAAGGCTCTGTTGGCTCAGGAACACAGCACCACAGAGGTGGTTATTGAGGGACACAAATTCGACCCTGACTATGGATTCAGCTCTTCCATCTCATGAAAGCACAGGCCATCCCCAACCTCACAAAGGAGGCTCCATCCTGTGAGAGGAGAGCAAAATAGCCTCCCAAACAGCCAATGAAGCCAATCCTCTTATACCACTCCTCTAAGGCAAGATGACAACAAGCGCTTTTAGGAAAAAAACCAAAAGAATTGGCACAAGGCTCTATTTGTCCTGGGAATAGAAAAGCCCTCCTCTTTTTCAACTCTGTGCCCGCACTTGGGCAGGTGGAGAGTCACCTCCACTTGGGATGGGCTTGTCACCCTTCATCTGTGGCTGAAACAGCTCCCAGGTCAGATAACCTGCAGTTGCCGAGGTCATCTAGAAGCACATTCGTGTCATATCCCGGCAGACCCATGCCGAAGTCTGGTGGAGGTGCAGCATCCCACAGGCTATCTGGGCTGAGTAAAAGATCACTCCGCTCATGTCCAGGCGCCATGTGTACCATTATAGATGTGGAACTTGAGGTCACCCCCATTCATCAGGCTCATGACAAGGCAGAGATGGGTCTTGCTCTCAAAGGCATAGGCCAGAGAGACAATGAAAGGGCTGCTGACCTTCTCCAAGATTTCCTTTTCTCTAAGAGAGCTATCTTCTCAGCCACCTTCTTCTTCATTGCTTTCTTGTTCAGTTTCTTACAGGCATGCCACTCCAAAGTGTTTTCGCCTGACAGCACATACCTAGAAGAGAAAGAAAGAAGAGAAAGAGAGAAGTAGATGATACTGGAGAGAGGTGGAGAGAAGATGATAAAGTGAGGGAGTTGCGTGGAAAGATGCCGGCATTGAGAAAGGAGAAGCTGTAAATAAGAAGTGTGTTCTAAGAAAGTGGACTACAGTGAGATACTTCCTTCACCTCACTAGGCAGACCTTCATAAAAAATACAGGAAAATATCAAGTGTTGGCAAGGATGTGGAGAAACTGAAACCTTGCTACTGCTGGTGGGAATAAAAATGTGGAATGTTTGTGAACCTTTAAAAGTGAAACATAGTATCACCATATGACTCAGCAGTTCCACTCTGGGCATAACCAAGAGAATTGAAAACAAGTATTCAAACAAATACTTGTGCATGAATAGCAGCACCACACAATAACAGCCAAATGGTGAAATAACCCAAATGTCCATCGACAGATGAATGGCTACATGAAATGTAGTATATCCATACAATGGAATATTATGCAGCTATAAAAAGGAAATTTTATACTGACACACATGAAGCAGTGTGAACGAACTCCCAAAACAGTTCAATGAGTGAAAGAAGTTGGACAAAAGGTCACATATTGTGTGAAACATCCACGCCAGGCAAATCAAGACAGAAAGCAGACTAGTGGTTGCCAGGGCTGGAGGAGGAGAGGGATGGGGAGGCACTGTTAATGGGCACAGGGATGATGAGAGAGTGTCTTGGATTCTAACTTCCAGGTGTTGGTTACCCAACACTGCATATATGCAAAGGCCACTGTAATCGTGCATTTGAAATGGTTAATGGTTAGTTTTATATCAACAAATTTTATCTGAAATTTTTTTGATACTTTTAAAACAGAAAGCTACACAACAGTGGTACAAAACAGGTTCTCAACCTTACTTCAAGATGAGTGTTTTCTTTCTTTCTTTTCCTTCTTTTTCTTCTTTTTTTTTTTTTTGAGAGAGTCTCACTCTGTTGCCCAGGCTGGAGTGCAGTGGCATGATCTCGGCTCACAGCAACTTCCCACCCCAGGCTCAAGTGATTGTCCTGCCTCAGCCTTCTGAGTAGCTGGGATTACAGGCATACCACACCCGGCTGTTAGAGTGTTTTCAAATATCCATTTTTCTATAGTACCTTCATAATCACAATTTAGGGGAAATGGAGATTCTGTCACACATTGCTATCATTCTCCAAAGTAATCAGCATCTCAGCATGTTCCTGATGGAGAGACTCCATGATAAGAGTCTGGACAAGTCTGCTGATTTTGTTTGTTCCCTTCATGTTATTTGTGTTTTATTTCACAACCTCACGGCTACAAGGAAGGGGACTGGGAGACGGGCTAGAAATCCTCCACATGTGGTCCTGAAATTAGTTCTAAGTAATGAGATTTTAAAAAAGAAAGGCAGCATTACCCCCTTTCATGCTCTCTGTTTCCACTCCTTCTAGCCTGGCTACTGGGCGACACACTTACCTCCCCAAAACCACCTTTCCCCAGCACTCTGAACTCGTGAAGTACTCTGTCTCACACTGGTTGCATCTCAAAGAGTTTCCACTGCAAAACTCTGTCACAGGGAGGGCTGGCCGGAAATCCTTGAAGGGCTGCTCTTGCAAGAAGGCCATGGCCTCAGACTTGGCCAGTGTCACTGCGGCCACCGGCCTCCTCGGTGGTGGCTGCTTGGCACTCTGGTGGGCTTAGCCTGGCCAAAGAAGGTGCGGGTCTCCCTGGGGCAGGCCACGCTCGCACGCCGCCACCAGCCCCTGCAGCGCGTTGTCCTTGGTAGGTCCTCGCCAGCTCCCAGCGTTCTTGCACGCCTTCAGGGAAGGTTGCTGCCTCGCCGAACGCAAGGTCAGTGGCTAGGAAGTCACGGAAGAAGGCGACCAATGGGCTGCCACCACACAGGCTGTAGCCCGGGGACAGCCTATGGGAGCTCTGCGCAGCCCTGCAGCCCTGCAGGCCAGCCTGCCCGCTGCCGCCAGCCCTTGCTGTCGCAGTCCAAGGCTTCCGGCCTCCGCAGGTAGGCCGTGTTGGCGATCAGGTTGTCCAGGGCCCCCATGTCCACCACATGTATTGGGAGCACTTGGGCACAATCCCAGGGAAAGCACAAGAGACTGAGGGCTGCTGGCTGCTTTCCTTCCCGGGGTGAGACAACGTCTGTGGATTTCATGCAGTGAGCCCTGTGGCCTGCAGGGACCTATGAGGGTGTGAAAGAGGCTTTGTAAGAAGCTTTGACTGGCTATGTATAGCCTGCTGAACTGCACATGACAGGTCATGCTCCCACTGTCAAGGTAAAGTCAGCTTGGACACTTGCTGGGCTGCCCTCCCCCACTGGCCTATTCATCTTAGCTTTTCCACATAGCCTGTACCCTGAATATCTAGCTAGAACTATGTTCCAAGGAAGTGATCTTACTGTTGTCATCTAATTTGTTGCTGATGCAGTAGTTTAATCTGTTTCTAATTTTACTTGTTTCCTACCAGGCTCAAGCTTTGTAAACTCCTAGGAACAGCAGGTCAGGCAGAGGAACTGTGAGAAGTCGGAGCAGTTTCCTCCCAGAGTCTAGCAGCTCCAAGACATGAAGAGCAGGTTAGAGGGGATGTTTCTGAGCTTGAGTCCTGAGATGTGTTCCCAGAGCACCCTAAGGACTCCCAGTGTTGGACAGTGCAGACACCCTGAATACTTGCAAAAAATCCTCCAGCCTTCTTACTCTGAGGAGTCTGTGACCTGGAGTACCTTGGTTAAAAGAGGGGGCCATCTCCACCCAAAACGTACCATGAAGCAGAAAAGCTATATTCTGAAATGAAGGGAGTTGGCCTGGAGTGTCTGGCCTGAATGAGACAAGAATTTTCCATGATCCCAAAGACAGGAAAGCACTACCCTGCATGCGTCGCGACTGTTCCAAGGGCACACCCAACGAGCAGACTCCTGGAATGCTGAGGAGCCTTCGCGACCAAGAGCAGTGAAGTTTCAGATGTGGCCTTGACATCTTTGCCCATGCACCACTGCTTAGGAGAAGCTCTCTGACGAGGATGCTCGGACACAATACAGACTCCTGCCTCATCGAGACAGAAATTGATCTAGACAGAGAACAGCTAAGAACTTCTGTCTAAAATAACAAATCTGTGTCCTACAGGGAAAGGATACTCAGGCTTTTCTTCACAAAGCAAGGCTAAGGCAGCTTAAAAACAAAGTCATTCAGTATTATGCCAGAGTGTTTACAAGGGGAAAAAAAGAAAGAGGGAGAAGGAGGGGAAAAAAAGCTGGTCAGTCTTTTTCTAAACAAACAACTGCTAGCATACACTTTGTGAAAACAGTCATGACTGCCTTGCTCTGCCTGTCAGAACTCCTCCGACTGTCCCCCAGAGCAGACACACTTGGCCTCATACCAGAATTATGTAATGAACTCGTGGGTGCCCTTGGTTTCTTGTACCGCTGCGCCTGGAAACTATCACCTCTGCTGTGGAGTTGGATGATCTGCACTGGTGCCTACTGCTCTGAACCATGCTGCCTGCTTTGAAACCCACACGGGAAATGTTGTACTTTTCTGCTCTTTATGTTACCCTGGTCCACATTGTTCAGTAGTGAAAAATTGGTCTGAGAATTTCTTCGGAGGAACAAATGCCTTTTCCGGGTGGTTCTTAGAATGTGTAGTGTGGCAGCCTAGGAGGGTAGAACCTTGGAGAAAATGATAGCATTGATATCACAGAGATATTTAAGCTTACTGGGAAAACATGCTTTCACTGGTGAATATGCATGCTATGAACTCCTTGAAGTTCTATTTAAAATGAAACATTTTCTTTCCTTTTTTTTCGTTTTTGAGACAGGCATTTCGTTGCCCAGAAGGCGTGCAGTGGAGCCTGTTCTCAGCTCACTGCAGCCTCACCTCCCAAGTTCAAGGGATCCTCCCACCTCAGCCTCCCGATTTGCTGGGACTACAGGCATGCACTCACCACACTTACACTTTTTGTATTTTTAGTGGAGACATGTTACAGGCTGGTCTCAAACTCCTGCTCGACATAATCCACCTACCTCAGCTTCTGAAACTGCAGCTGAGATTAGAGGCATGAGCTACTGATGCCCGGCTGAACACTTTCTGTGATTGCTAACAATAGATCCAGAGCTTTTCCCAACTTAATGGAAACAGTACTTATAGGTTCAACTAAAGCGGGGAATGTTACTGAATTCTTATATTAGAAGCAGAGCACGCATCTTGTCAAAAGTGTCAGGCACAGTCAGCATCCCTTGCACCAAGTGGGGAAACGACTGTAGAAACGTGGGTTGAGATGTGCCCAATAGTTACGCAGCACTAAGTCCACTGCTTGGGAAATCTGAATCCTGGCTTTGAAAAGTCTCAGCTGTGTGACTTTCAGCAAAGTTACTTAACTTTCTGGAGCTTGGTTTCCATCATTTATAAAACAGGTAATAAATGTTGATTCTGGGTGTTTTTGAGAGAATTAAAATGCCAAATGCCTGGCACAAAGAAGTGATCAAAAATATTAGCTTTTAAACCACTTACCATCACGTCGGGCACGGTGGCTCACGCCTGTAATCCCAGTAATTTTTAGGAGGGCCAAGGTGGGTGGATCACGAGGTCAGGAGATCGAGACTACCCTGGCTAACACGGTGAAACCCCGTCTCTACTAAAAAGAAAAAAAAAAAATTAGCTGGGCGTGGTGGCGGGCGCCTATAGTCCCAGCTACTTAGGAGGCTGAGGCAGGAGAATGGCGTGAACTCCGGGTAGGCAAGCTTGCAGTGAGCTGAGATCACACCACTGCACTCCAGCCTGGGCGACAAAGACTACCTCAAACATAAATAAATAAATAAAATAAATAATAATAATAAATCATGACGATCAATCATCAAAATTTAGTTCAAAATTCTGCTTTTCTAATATGGCAGATTGGAGAGAGAGAAAGGTCATAAGGATGTAGAAGAAGATGGCTTCCTGTGTCCCATGCACAACTAGTATAGCACAGCCAATTCAGCATTTGCACGTGGACCTGGAAAGCTGTGATGCCTCCCATGCAGCTAGAAGACAGGAGGTCAGATTTGTTAAACATCATGCAAGATTTCTAACACACTATTGTAACTCAACAATTTACTGTATTCCACCACAAAAAGAAGACTAACCTCTGTCATATGAAAAGAGGATATACTTTTATTTTTATTTTATTTTCAATTTTTTTTTTTTTGAGACAAAGCTCCGCTCTGTTGGCCAGGCTGAGTTCAGGGCATGATTCCTAGCTCACTGCACCTCTGCCTCCCAGGTTCAAGCACTGTACCTCTCAGCCTCCTAGGTAGCTGGGATTACAGGCATATGGCAACACGCCCAGATAATTTTTGTATTTTTAGTAGAGATAGGTCTCACCCTGCTAAGTAATAGGCTATTCTGAACTCCTCCTGACCTCAAGTGATCTGCCCGCCTTCATCCTCCCAAAGTGCTGGGACTACAGGCATGAGCCACTGCACCCACCCTCCACCCCTTTTATTTAGATTAGATGTTTCATTTTGAATGAAAAATCATAACTTTATGATAGTAGAAAGCAATTTAAATATTATTTTAGTATTTTTGGGACTCCATTTGTAATCTAGGGAAAAGAAAAAATGTTTCTGCCTGGGTCTTTCATTACCTTGCATCATTTAAAGCATTATTAATGATGTACATGTCTTAATTTTAAATTCTTCTTCGAAAATACATCCTAAGATTAACTGTTTAAGGAAAATAGTAAAGCCAAGTTTTTAATAAGAAACGATCATTATCCTTTAAAATGCACAATTCTCTGCATGGTCCACAGTATATCACCATTTGAAGATCAAGAATTAGGAAGCAATAGGCAGGGCAGTGCTATATGGTCTTAAAGACAGAGAAGCTATTTTGTTATAAAGTTCTGGAAGCAGACTAATATGTTAGCATTAAAATACTCCAAAGAGGCTAAACACGATGGCTCATGCCTGTAATCCCAGCACTTTGGGAGGCTGAGATGGGTGGATCACGAGGTCAGGAGTTTGAAACCAGCCTGGCCAACACGGTGAAACCTCATCTCTACTAAAAATATAAATAGCTGCATATGTGTGGTGCATATGACTGTAATCCCAGATACTTTGGGAGGCTGAGGCAGGAGAGTTGCTTGAACCTGGGAGGTGGAAGGTTGCAGTGAGCCGAGATCGTGCCACTGTACTCTAGCCTGGGCAACAGAGCAAGATTCTGTCTGGGAAAAAAATTAATTTATTAATTAAATAAAATAAACAAAAATACCTAAAGAACTCAGGTTGTTCTTCTTGAGCTTCAAGTTGTTGATAGTTCAACAACTTTGTTGTTTAAAAATAGATTTAGGGCTGGGTGCAGTGGCTCATGCCTATAATCCTGCATTTGGGAGGCCGAATGGGTGGGTCACCTGAGGTCAGGAGTTTGAGACCAGCCTGACCAACATGGTGAAAGTCCGGGTCTACTAAAAATACAAAAATTAGCTGGGCATGGTGGCGGGTGCCTGTAATCCCAGCTACTTGGGAGGCTGAGGCAGAAGAACTGCTTGAACCCAGGAGGCAGAGGTTGCAGTAAGCCTAGATCACACCACTGCACTCCAGCCTGTGACAGCAACACTCAGTCTCAAAAAAAAAAAAAAAAAGATTTAGGGGGTACAAGTGGGTACAGTTTTGTTATATACATATTACATAATGATGAAGTCTATGCGCTAGTGTAGCTATCATTTGAATAATGTAACATTTTATATTAAGTAATTCTTATCCTCACTCTTACTCCCACCTTCCTACCTCCCATCCTTCTGTGACTTCAGTGTTTATTATTCTACCCCCATGTACAGTACATGCCATATTTAGTTACTGATTATTGAGAGAGTACACAAGCATTGACTTTCTTTTCTGAGTTGTTTTACTTATATAAGAAAAGGCCTCCAGTTCCATCTGACTAATGTAAAAGACATGATTCCATTCTTTTATGGCTGAGTAGTATTAAGGTAATGATGTATACACACATACACATGCACGCACACACATGCACACACACTCACACATTTTTTCTTTTTACCAGTCACTCATTGGTGAATAATTAGGTTGATTCCATATTCTTTGTTATTGTGAATAGTTCTGTGATAAACATATCTGGGTAGCAGTTATCTTTTTAATATAATGATTTATTTTCTTTGAGGAGATACCTTGTGCAGTGGGATTGCTGACCAAATGGCAGTTCTCCAGACTGAAGCCATTTTTTTTTTTTTTTTGAGATTGGTCTCTCTGTCACCAGGCTGGAGTGCAGTGGTGGTGATCATGGCTTATTACAGCCAGCCTCTGACTCCTCTTTTGGTCTCAAGTGATCCACCCACCTCAGCCTCCCAAAGTGCTGGGATTACAGGTGTGAGCCACCATGCCTGGTCTCCATACTGTTTCCCAGTTTGTACCTACACTTATCCCCCAAATCAGATACATCTCCCTTTCTCCACACATCTCTCACCAATTTGTTGTTTTTTGACTTTTTAGCAGCACCCATTCTGACTGGTGTGAGGTACTGTGTAATCAGCTTCTGTGATCATTAGTGGTGATGAGTATTTTTTGGGTATGCTTGTTGGCCATTTGTATAGTTCTCTTTGACATTGATTTGAATCTTCTTCCATACAGCAAAGGTTTGCTTTGTTTTGTTTTGCTTTTTTCTTCAGTAAAGCCTCACTGGAAAGTACAGCAAAAGGGTCTTTACCCCTCCCATAGCAACTGTCAGACATTTAATAATTTGAAGTCATCAAAACTACACAATTTTGTTGGCCGGGTGTAGTGTGGTCAGCTAGGTGGCTCAGTTGAAATCTAGGCAATGTTTTTTTCTGGTCTGTTTTCTTCATGCACAGCACAGTTCAGATTAGGTAAACACCAAGTGTAACACAATACTTATAAACTCTGTGATTATTGATCATTGGGAGTTAATAGAAAGTGAGTGGTTTTCAACTCACATTTCCTGAAAGCTGGAAAATGAATTGTTCC